ATATACATCCTGCAACCTGACTGGAAAACTCTTGGGGCATTGATATGAGATGTCTAGCTGTTACTGTTCACCATCACAGGAGCGAGCTCTCAAGCACTGAGCTCAGAGATACTGCATCAGGGGAGAGCGTGCATGTGAAAGGGTTTGAATCAGAGAGAGCTGACTCCTGTGATGGTGGAGGTGAACATTAACAGCAAAGACTCTCTTAGCAACGTCCTAGGACTTTTTAACTCATTCTTCATGCCGTAAATATAATGACCTACACATATAGCAAAGGGCATTACTCAACAATGATAAAAGCTGCACAGGTCAATTTTATCTACAGGCATCCCTTGTCTACATCCACAGTTTGGTAAAGGTGAACTATGCCTCTATGGATGGGCAGTTATATCATGGCACATCCCCCTTAGTGAGACATTTTTCTTTGTGACTCCACATGTCAATCATTCACAGATGTTTCATGAGTGGTTGTTTCAGATTACTGTTCCTTAGGCAGTCAATTGCAGTTTGCAACTTTGCAACTGTTTTAAGGTGCAGCTTGTACAAGAAAACATGCTCAGAACAGTATTTCTAATCTTGTTTTTGTTTTGTTTTTTTTTGCTAACAGTAATAAAACAATCAGTTCAAGTGCCATATGATAAACTGGGTACTGTCCTTCCATATTTAGGGTACACAAATGTATAAAGTAGTTAAGCAGTTTAATATATATATAGATGGATATATGTCAGTGCGGAATAAACATACTTCATAACCAGCACCAAACACTGCAGGTCTCCTTCTCAGTTACGGGCCTTACATGCAAGAAGAATGAGACTGTGACACCCACCTCATGCAGAGGGGACGACTGATAACCAGGGAGAGCTAATTAGATCAATCATTTCATTACAATGTTTCATTACAGTCAATTACACTCTGCGCTCTTTGGTCCTGCTAGCGATTTTGTAATTTACGGGTGTTCTCCTGCCTATGAGCGCCTGTCAGGAGCCATTCTCACCCCTTTGCATTTTGCTTGGGTGGCATTGAACCTTTAACCCTTTCTAATAACGTAGATGTCTCTGCTTATGCAATGCCGCACAATTCAAAAGTCACAAGGTAGCCAACAAGTTGAGTGAAGCATAAAGCCCACTCCTAAATCCAAGGAGAATTATTTGAAGCACATTGAAGAACAGTAAAGCAAAATACACTGGGGGTTATTTACTAAAACTGGAGAGTGCAAAATCTAGTGCAGCTGTGCATAGAAACCAATCATCTTCCAGGTTTTATTGTCAAATCTTAACTGAACAAGTTGAAGTTAGAAGCTGATTGGCTACCATGCACAGCTGCACCAGATTATAAGTGCTCCAATTTTAGTAAATCTTCCTCAGTGTGAGCTACGGAAAAGATTTCACATAGTACAAATAGATATAGAGATGCATCACAACTAAAGTTTAATACATAGATATTATAATAAAGATATTGATTTAAAAAATAAGTTGCCTTTATGTATAAACAGCATATATTCTAGGAGTGATCTGTCCTGGTAGAAAATCCAGTCAAATTCAGATAAATTGATCCTTTTCTTGTGTCAATCATTTTTATGAAAAACAATTTTACTGAAATTTCTGATTGAAAGTTATTCTACTGTGTGTTCCAGGTAACAACAGTGGATACACAGATTAGTATCTTAGAGATTGACCGATAAGGTTGTTATCATGTTACTGGGACATTTATTCACAAAATTGATTACAGAAGTTTTACAGCATAGCAAAATATCTCTGACAATAATGCCTTGCACCTATGATGTTTCCCACTCTTATTTTTTTTCAGGTACTTATATAGAGCCATCAATTTACACAGTGCTTTACAAATATATTGTACATTCACATCAGTCCCTGCTGTCAAGGAGCTTACAATCTAAGGTCCCTAACTCACATTCATGCATACACATACTAAGGCCAATTTAGACAGGAGCCAATTAACCTATGAGCATGTCTTTGAAGTGTGGGAGGAAACCAGAGTACCCAGAGGAAACACACACAGGCACAGGGAGAACATGCAAACTCCAGGCAGGTAGTGGCATGGTTGGATTTGAACCGATGACCCTAGTACTGCTAGTCAGAAGTGCTAATCACTTAGCCTCTGTGCTGCCCGTCATGCTGCTCCCATGACCTGTTACAAATATTAGTGACTTAGTTTAGAATTATACCAGCAATATAATTTATCTACCTGATCCCTGCATGCAGATCATATATAATGTAAGCCATTTTATTTATGATTAGATCTGTTAAACATTTGGTATTAGAAATTGTGCTTGTCTGTGTGTGTCTATTTAATTTTATGACACTTCAAAATAAAAATAAAGTATACAATTTTTTATTCTTTCAAAGAATGGGAGAGTTTTGGACAGAAGAACATTTTAGGTTGAGATTTCCTTATAGAAATATCCTTATATTAGACACCAGGTGTACTACCAAACAAAGGGTCTTGGTTATACTTAAGGAAAAAGAAAAAGTGGAGGTGTTGACCATGGAAAATGGCAGTGTAGTTGGTTGTTATAGTAAATAGCTTTACATTTTCTTGTCTTCAGTGTTGATACCCAAAGTCATCCCAAAGTTTATCAGATGGCACTGGAACAATAGCATGATCAAAGTTATATATTATTATATGATATCGATATAATTATATTTGACTTGCCATTTGAGACTTTTTAAACAGTTTTTTTTGGGGAGATTTTAGTGCTGGGTCATAACTTTGGCTTGGTCAACCAGTTTGCGTATTGTAAAATGCCAGACCTATTTCTGCTGGGCATTCTAAAACTTATAGTCTTACTAGGGACTAATAAACAAACTCAGTTGGATTAAGAGAGAACCATTGGCACCACATTCCTTGTAACCTAAAGAGCAGAACACCTAATCATGTAAATGGGACTTGAAGGGTACCAAAAATAACTACTAACTATGTCATATGTAAATCAATATTTTGTTATTACATATATTGTATATATACACATGTATATTAAAGCGGTATTAAATCCAAAAACTAAAATGTAATATATTTTACCAATTTATTTTTTAGGTTTTTTTCCTCTTTATTTTCATCTGGTTATCTGTCTAGTAACACACTTACTGTCTTAGGGTGTCTCCACTCTGGATGGATGAGTAATGGAGACACATTGGAGAGCAGCATTGTCAGTCTGGGGAGTGTAGTGTTAGATGTAGTTGCAAATACAGATGGATTTGACTAACAAATTAAAGCTGAACATTTTTATTAGCAATTACAGCAACAGTTTTGTTCCCCAAGGGATACGTTTTTTCATAAATGAATAAAAGCTGGCCATTGTAAGCACCCCTGTCAGTGTTAAATGATTTGTCTCAACCCTCTAACTGCCATTTTCTGCTGGACAGCTTGCTCTGTTAAAGGAAATTATTTAATTAATGATAACAGACTTATTGGCAGGATCACTAGGTGATTTAGTTCAATGCTGCATTAAAAATAAGAAACAATTATAAATTAGATGCCAAGTAGCATATAAATGTATTCTGGCATATATCTCTAGCCGACATCTAACCCTTGGCAATCAGCAAAAACTTTGCAGGGGTGTACCTAATGATGTGAATATGTAAGGCCTTCTATATAGGCAAGATCAAGAGGCCACTTTCTAGACATATATAAGACTATGTATATAAAATTTTAGATGGGGAAACGACTGCAGCTGTAAGCCTACATGTTGGGCTTTTTTACAATTGTGAAGCATCAGTAACAGAATTATTAGAATCAGAGTATCAGAATTTAGATGGGGGGTCAGAAATCCATCGATGGCAATCTACCTGTCACTCATGGGTAGGTGATGGGTAGATTGTATTCCTTCCTTGCTAACCCCCAGGACCTGGACAGGACTGGCAGCATTTACTGGAACAGATCATCTGTATCTTCTTCCTGCAACATCTGAAAGTCGACTCTCCCGCTGACTGCTGTGGGGGATCATTTCAGAATGGGGAGTGGAGAAGGGGCCACTAAATATGTCATTTAGAGCCCTCTTCCTTTTCTGAATGAACAAAGTGAGTGATGGGTAACTGTGTTCACTATGCTTTGGTTTGTGAATGAACAGGGAGACTGTGCAGAGTTCTGTTTATTCATTCTGTGCAGCTGAGGTTGCCTACCCTTGCTTTAGACCATATACACACTAAAAGCACAGTAGGTGATATCAGTAAAGCCCTCCTACAATCTGAAACACGATAGATAAAAAAAACTGAAAGCAATTAAACCTCAAAGCCTTCCTGAGACATTAAGTTATAAGTTATTCTTGTTGCTTTTAACAAAATTTTTCACTTTTTTTTTCTTATTTTAAAGGGCTGGTTCACACCTGAATTCCTGCACATTCTGATGTGGGGCGATTTTACAGCCCATTAATTTCAATGGGCTGAAATAGCACCAGAATTCTGGGAAATGCATGCACTATTTTTTACTGCAGTACCATGAGATTTGGTGCCTGCAAAAGCACTGTGTTTATGATCTGTGTTTGGGGTGCCATTAACATTACATTGGCACCCAAAGAAGATTGCAAAGGCAATGTGTTTTGAGCACTGTGAAGGAAATACAGACAGAACTCACCTCGCATCACATTCTGGTGTGAACTGGCCCCTTATATTTATGTAACAGTAAATTATTATTATTATTATTATTTCATAGCTATTTTGGGCACCCTTAGAGTCCCATTTGTTAACGTAGGTACTCTTATTAGAGTTCACATTAAAAAGCCCTTCACCACCCTTAAATTGTGGTTCTTTTGATTGACTCTGTAAATGTGGTTCTTAAGGCTATTGACTAAAAATAGATACCCATTATGATTCTGCCATGTAACAATTACTATACTATATACTAATTACTATATTTTTTGCTTAGTTACTGTCCTTCATCATACACCTCATTAAGATTTATGCTTCTTTATTTTTCATGTGATTTCCATCTGTCTTTCTCTTTTTCTTTTTTATGGGCTCCTCTTCATGCTTTTTTGACCTTAGGTGAAGATCATCGTTCCAAACAGCACTGCAGGTCTGATCATCGGGAAGGGAGGTGCCACTGTGAAGGCGGTAATGGAACAGTCTGGTGCATGGGTGCAGCTTTCCCAGAAACCAGATGGCATTAATCTGCAGGAACGAGTGGTGACTGTAAGTGGCGAGCCAGAGCAAAACCGCAAGGCAGTAGAGCTGATAGTGCAGAAGATCCAAGAGGACCCACAGAGTGGTAGCTGTCTGAACATCAGCTATGCCAATGTTACAGGACCTGTAGCTAACTCCAATCCCACAGGATCCCCTTATGCCAACACTGCTGAAGTTCTACCTACTGCTGCTGCTGCTGCTGCAGGGCTCCTAGGACATGCTAACCTTGCTGGGGTAGCAGCCTTCCCCGCTGTTCTCTCTGGCTTTACTGGCAATGATCTAGTTGCTATTACATCAGCACTCAACACTTTGGCCAGTTATGGTTACAACCTCAATACGCTAGGGTTGGGATTTAAGTCAAGCGGCAGCCACAGGAGCATTAGCAGCTGCTGCTGCAAGCGCCAACCCAGCCGCAGCTGCAGCAGCCAATTTGCTGGCTACGTACGCCAGCGAAGCAACTGCGGGTGGTGGTACTGCTGGAGGAGCGGCTGGGACGTTTGCACTAGGCAGCTTGGCTGCTGCCACCGCAGCTACCAATGGATATTTCGGGGCAGCATCCCCTCTAGCTGCTAGTGCCATTTTGGGGACTGAGAAGTCAACGGACGGCTCCAAGGACGTAGTAGAAATTGCTGTGCCAGAAAACCTGGTAGGTGCCATACTTGGCAAAGGTGGCAAGACATTGGTGGAATATCAGGAGTTGACTGGAGCCAGGATACAGATCTCTAAAAAGGGGGAGTTTGTCCCCGGCACCAGAAACCGGAAGGTAACCATAACAGGCACACCAGCCGCCACACAAGCTGCCCAGTATCTAATAACGCAACGAGTCACTTACGAGCAAGGTGTCCGGGCGGCCAACCCACAGAAAGTGGGTTAAATGACCTCCCTTTCCTTCCCTTTCCTGGATGTTAACTTAATTGTCCCCCTCCCCCCCTCCCCTTTCTTCTTTTCATGGATGTACTGTATTTTGCAGGAGCGATTTATATTTTATTTTTTATTTGAATATTCTTTTTTGTTTTGTTTTTTTGTTATTGGCAGGGGAAGTGTGTGCGTCGGGTTATTAATATATAATTATGCAAATGAACGCAACAGTGTTGACAAAGCGCATCTGTAAATAATACATGTTCTACGGATGTTTTAGAGAGGGAATTTTTTTAGTGTTTTTTATTTTTTTAAGTTTTTTAATTTTTATTTGAAGGATTTTGACAGGTTATCTCTCTCTTGTTGAGGTTTTATTGTTTACGCGTCAGAAAGTAAAAAAAAAAACAAAAAAAATTTTTTGAAGCCTGCCATTTTACCAGCATTGTTGTAGTCGAAAATGAACTGAATGTAAACATGAAGTGACACATTAATTTTTTATCTCTGTGAGGGCTGACGTGTCCAGTAATGCACTGCAGAGCCACGTGTTGCTGGTCCCTTCAGAATCACAAGGTAATCAGTATTAGTCCTTAGCGACGCTGTAACTGAACTACTGTTTTGCTGGAAAACAGCAGGAGGGTTGGGTGGGTGAGGTACCTATAAAACAAAAAGGGAGTAAAGAAAATCAAAAGCACTGTCCAACTTCACTCATGCGTCCTGCCCTGGGGTGGCAGCGTGTGAGGGATCAAGTTTTGGAATAAAAAAAAAGAAAAATAGTTTTAAATTAAAACATTAAAAGAGATATATATATATATATTATCTAAAAGCAATATAGTTGCAAAAAAGCACTGTAAAATATATATTAAAATGGTTAAAACTGTGGAAAAAATAACCTTTTTTGATAAGTTTACAGATCAGTGTCTTCATAACAACCTGTATGGCGGTGAATATTCCGGCTGGCCAGGCTCCATTTCTCTCATTTATGGCTCATGAATCTCATCAGATTTAACTACTCTGATGGGTGACGTTTGGTTTTGACAAGAGCTGTGTCTGTTTTCTTCCTTCATTGGGTTTTCCCTCCTGCCCCTTCATGCTGAAATCCTTTTAAATCCCCAGTCTCTCACCCCATCTTGTTTTAATTGCTTAATAAATCAGCCTAGCTTTCTTTCCTCCCCTAGATGACCTTGTTTCCAATCCTGCTCTGGAGAAACAACGCTGTCACCCGTTTAGTAACATTTCATCATGGCAGTCCTAGTTAACCAATTAATTGCTATGATTGCAGGGCTGAGGTGGTACAATTGTAACTCAGAAGGCATTCCTCTTTTTTACGCACAACCTCTAGCTACAATGTTTGTTATTCTCCAAGGTAGGATATGATCAAGACACTTAACTATTGCTTTCAATTCAGGTTAAAGGTTTACATTTGGGGTTCGTAGGACTGGGGTTTTAAGCAGACCCCCTAGTTCCTGGCCAGCCATGCACCAGTTGATCCATTAACATCCTCTCCCCTTTTAGATATAATGCTGTGCTGTGAGCGTATTGGAGTTTTTTCTAAGCCAAATCACGCACACACACAACAGATTAAAGTGCCAACTGTTAGTTGATGAGGTTTCATTATCTGCAACGACTTAGCGAGGGCGTTGCCTTTTAAAAACGCTTCTGATTGTGTATAATTTTAACACTAGCAATCTCTTAGTGTTGTCAATGTAGATTTTACTGTGAACAGTATCTGTGATTTTTAGCTGTTTTTGATCCCTCCGGGGCAAGGCTCAACCAGCCATTGCAGGCTCCGATAGTCGTTTACCTGCATGTTCTTTTTCCGTGGGGCATCTTTATGTCGGCTTCAGTCAGTACTTCCCTGCATGCTCGTTTAGCTGAGATAGTGTTCATTTCCGGCGTGTGTCTACCTGTCACAGCACAGGTTCCTCCAAGGGCCATTTTTATTGGTTTTATTTTCTAGAATAAGCCTTTTTGTTCTCCAACTTGTCACCTCCTCCATGTTTCTGAGTGCCAACTAGCCAGATCATTATGTTAACCTCTGCATTTGGGCCACCTCAAGCCACTGAAAATGTGGCCATTCATAAACCCAGCATCTTCTCATGCTATGCATGCAGTCGTAAAACAATAAAAAAAAAACAAAATCAATGGACAAAGAGAGTAATTAAAATAGTAAATAATAATAATAAAAAAAAAGAAAAAAAGAAAAAAAAAACTAAAATGCTGGCTACCTCTGGATCATCAGGCTGAGAAATTCCCAAACAACAGTTTTCCTTCCATCTCAACTTCAATTCATTGATAACGTCCATCATAACCAACTCAGTGACATTTTCCGCTGCTCCTCCTGTGCAACCGATAACTGAACAATGATTGTGATGTCCTCTCGTCTGGCTTCTCGTCCAGCATCTCTCTTTCTGAACTGTGATCTTTTGTTTTCTTTTTTGTTTACCCTTATGATTTTTTTTGTTTAGTTCATTGAAAAAAAATGACCTTCATCACTATTTTTGGTTTTATTGAGTCAACAGTGTCCGGTATTTAATGGATACTGAAATATTGATTTAAGACCTCCTTACTGTCAGTTCCCTTACCCTCAACTTTCCTGCCTTACTCCTGTACAGTTTCTGTTCACTGTTATGAGCCCCCCAACTTCCCAGAGGCCTGTGAGGCATACTGGGGTACCCACAAGTTGTATCACAGGCTTCTCAAGTTTGGGGGAAACCAGCCATTCCAATCTGATGATCAAGTCAATTTCTTCTTACTTTCCTTCCATTTTCACTTTCTCTTTGATTACAGAAAGAAAAAAAAAAAACATTTTCAAGAAGAGAAAACTGATATATATTAAAAAAAAAAGGAATGATATTGCTTGTTTTTAAAATGGAAAGAGCAAAGCTGTCGTACAAACTGTGTTTTAATTGGTAATGGTTATTTATCGTTAATAGTCTCTGTAGCTCTGTAAGTTTTTATGACAATACAGTGTAACTAGTGGTTAGCCGATGATGCGAATATATTTACTCATATCATTATAAATGTGCTTTGTTCATCATGTACCATCACTGTCTCCCGTCTCATTATTTTCCTTGCATGTCACTAGTTTCAATTCATTTATAATACATTAACAGTGAATAATACCTCTCAGATTTTTTTCCCCACTGTCCTGGTGTTAGCAGGTGCACCAACACAGAGCTGCAGGTCATCAGCTTTTCATGCTCAGATATCCTCCTTAAAATGAACATGCTGCACCGGATGCTACTGTGATTACAGCCGTCAGCCTCTCATGACGTGTTGTATGTGGCACTAACAACGCTCTGCTTCTGGTTAACTGTGTGGTCAGACAACAGTGGCAGGGTGCATTCCACAAGGGTCATTCCTTGTCTCTAGATTGTAATCTTCTATTCTCTACAGAGAAAAGTCTGGGAAGATAGTCCCGAGTTCACAGCACCCATGCACATTGCAGCATATTCATTTTGCAATAAAGGCAGCAGCAGAGCTATTTTATCATGGAATAGAAAGAGCTGCTTCACACTTTAAAATACCAAGAGCTGTGAGAGGCAGAGAAGTGGCTTCTGAGGGATCTGTTTATATGAACTCTTGGGGGAAAATGTTACAAACCCTTTGTCATATCTTTCTATCCCAACAGTATCTCGGAATCATACATTCCATTCACAGTGTGAGAAACCTGCACCCTCTGGCTCAGACTGTGTGTATTGTGGGAGCTGGGCTTACTCTCAGCCCATTACATGGATGTTCCTATATCCATCTCTGTTGACATGTTGCAGCCATTTCTGACAATAAGGCACCTTTATAGCTGTGATAACTTTCTGACCCACTTGTTTGACTATACACTCTCTTCCTGAACAAAACAAATGAGCGAGACAACGAACGTAAGCAGCACCAACCCTTATCAACCAGTTAGAAATCAGCTTTCATCACAGAAATAACAGTTGGCATTTGATTGGTTGCTTTGGGGGAACTTCATGTACCTGTTTCTAGCATATTGTCTGTTTAATTAAAGTCAATTGCTATTTACAGTACTTTTTGTTCTCACTTTGAATATGTAACTTGCTCTGCTTTCAGTGCAGCCATTTCAACCAACGCCTCAATGATTCACTGCCACCTCAATGTTGTTAATACCAGGTGACAGTACAGTACCACATATTTTTATGTTTCAGAAATGGTTACTCTTCCATAGCCGCTGAGTGCTCTTTAAGTGCCTTCTTGTCAATTTAAGTGGCCTGCAACATATCAATAGCTCTTAAATCTCTGACGCAGGAGGGTCTCTAAGGCATTTCATTGTAGTCCCTCTTCGGCACTGAGAGGGTTAAGTGTCCATTTCTATGTATAGCTCATGGGTGTATACAATGGATCTATTTCCTTCCTCAGTCTTGAAAACCTGACAGAAGGAACCACAATTATTATAACTTCACCACGAGGGGGGCGGTTTACAAAGAAAAGGTTTCTTTGCCTGTCATTTCGAATCATAACCAGCAGCACGTCTCGAAGCGGAGGGACTACACAGGAAGCTGCTTTTGTCTTGTAAAAGAATGCCCGACCCATTCATGTCTTGACAATGTGCTTCTTTACAGCATCACCATTAACTCAGCTTCACTCATAGATTTTCCTGCACCTAGCACCTCCTGTACAGTCTTACCCCTCCATCCCTCAGCACTTTAGTACAAGAAAGGTGTACAAAGCAGCACTGTCCTCTTCTCCTATGATGCAAAATGATAAAGAACCTGGCTATCTGCCAGTAGCACAAAGCAGTTGCACTTTATGAACATATAGAGCAAGCTAGATTTAGCAACATTTCTTTACTGGGAGTTGCTATACCATTGTTCTAAATAGATGTTTAACAGCTTGCTCCTTTACGATATTGGGTCAAATTTAATAAAACAAAATCCAGTGGGGAGTTGCCATGTTGTAAGCCATAATTCAACACATAAGGACATTTTGCAGTAGTCTCTGAGTTCCTGTTACTCAGATGTTGCCCCTTGCAGTTCTTTTTTTTAATTCTGTAGCTCACAG